TCATTTTACTTCTCAAATATCACTGTTTGTTCCCTATATGATATATTTAATTGATTTTTTAAATCCAAACAATCAATGATTTATAAGGTAAATCAGGAAAATTAACAAGGCTGCCCAAACCTTCACAGCCCACTGTATGACAGCAGAGGGTAAATTTCTACGTTCTGTCACATATACAGCTCTACTTCACCCCGTCATCTCTTCAATAAGCCACGCCCCTCACCTTCTGTGCAGCGGACGAGTCCTGCGACAGTGTGTCTGTATCATACATGGACTCCAGAGCTTTGAGAGCCAGGTCCGTCCGTCCCAGCTGCTGCTGTATGGTGGCCAGAGAGAGCCGGGCCTCCAGGTGCTGCGGCGCCATGTCCACTACCTTACTGTAGCTTTCAGCTGCCTCCTTCATGTGTCCCAGAGCGTTCAGACACTCTGCAACACAACAGTAACACACAACTGGTNTCACAGCTCTGTGACCTTTCATACATAATACATAGTATGAACAAGACAACAGTGGTTGAAGTACATCAAACACAAAGAATGAACAACAATCCTGWGTGTACATTATGTAAACACATGACAGTGATGGGGTCAAAGGTCAGACTGACTGACAGCTTCCTGTGGTCTGTCATGGATGGACAGGCTGCACCAGTCAGGGTCACTCCTGCAGAAACTCACTCAGGCTCTACTAGGGGTGGGCAGTCCTGGTCCTGGGGGGTCTCAGTCCTGGTCCTGGGGGGTCTCAGTCCTACATGTTTTACATGTTTCCTGCTCCAACACACCTGATTCAGTCACTGAACTACCTCTTCATGTTCTGCAGTATGGAGGACCGACACTGACATAATTAGAAATAAAAGCAGAAACAGATAAATGAACCTTTAAACAAATAAAAAAAAAATTAAAATGCACCAAATAAATTAAAAAGGAGAACTTCACCTCATGTTTTATAATTTAATTCACCTTCATATTTATTTTTCCAACTTAGTTCCAACAAATTTTATATTTTAACACATGATTTAAATTTGAATGTTTTTTAATATATATTTTAGTTTTTCCTTTTACTTGTACATGCATGTGTGTCTCTTGAATGCATAAG